ACGCTTTTTTTGATAGTAATTTACTAGTAAAGACATCTCAATTTTGTCGATCAATTTTATGCATAAAATCTAATAGTTGTATCATTATTACTGCACCCTTACATTATTTTGACTAATTAGTATTTGAAATACCCCAATAAACCATGGTGCAAATATGGTGCGAATAGTAGTTCCCTAATTTTATATTATTTATCTATACTATAGATTAACTAATTGTCTTAATAAACTATAAATAATAGTAATTATTTTTTAGTTTTTTTAATAAACTATAGATTCTGTAGTTGTTTAAATCTGGTTTTAAGTTATTGTTAAAAAAACTGAAACTATAATTTTTGTATTAAAATTGTTTTAAATTAAAGTAAAAATGTTTGTATACTATGAAGTTCTTATTTGAGAATAAAAGAAGAATATATTTATAACCTAAATCACTTTTACCCAAATCTAAAGCCTCTTATTAACCAAGCTGATTGAAAATTACACAATATCTTAGACTAACAAGCGACCAACTTGCCATTTTGCTGTTGGTAATAGATTAGTAATACAACTAAAGTTCAGCAAATTGGCCTGATTTTGAGTCAAAATAGGCTGGAATTTGACCAGCATTAAGCAACAATTCTGGCTAAAAATATCAATACAATATTATGTAAAATTAGTAGCTAAGCAATTTTACTTACTATATAGACTAACAGTTTGTTAGTAAAAATTTAGGAAAATTTAAAAAATTTTATCAATTCTGGCTAGGGTTGTATTACATAAATTACAATATTACAATACGTGTAATTTTACATGAGTTTCAGTAAATAAGATTTCATGTAATTTTGAAATACCAGCTTTGCGAAAGAAGGGCCAACATTATGCATCATTTAATTTAAATATATTATCCGAATTGTAACTCATCAAATCAAGAAAATTTGATCTCAGAAAATAATATCTTGTGTTCAAAATTACAAATTACATGAAAACTAATTTACGAAAACTTACTCAAAATTACGTAAAAATACACAAAATTACAGTAATTTTACATCCCTATTTCTGGCCTATTCCCACCCTAAATTCAGGCCAATCTGCTGAATTTTAGTTGTGTTACTAATCTATTCTTATTACATGTAAAAAATATAATTTTTATATACCGATTATGTCGGAATTCGGATCGGCCGAAAAATCATTCTGCAAATTTTATCAGGTATTATAATAGCTATAATGAACTGGTCTTATTAGGGACTTATCCGAAGGCGGAGAGTAATTTTCAATTAATGATGTAATGTAATTGTAGTAACGTTGTATAAAAAAAAGATGTAATTGTAGTATTCGCCACGTTGCATAAAAATAATATCAGTCACGATGCATAAAAAATGACGTAGGATAAAATAAATGTAATTGATGCAATTAGTTTAGTTTATAGTCAAATGTTGTATGTATAAAGTATATGAGAAAACAAAGAAGTCTTTTGCCTTTCGTTTCGTTCTTCGTACTAAGACGTCATCGGTATCTGTTTTTGTTATTATTTCTATTATTTCATTATTTTCATTATTTATCTTATTTTCATTATTTCCATTATTTCCATTATTTCTATTACATTCATTATTTCCATTATCTATTACTGTATTTCTATTCATGTTTTCATACGTACATACAAGGCAAGAGATTTAATTTCCCAAAGTACCAGAAAATTTTCTTTCTTCTATTTGTACATGGTCTTCCTGGTGATTACTAACATGTTCCTTTGCTTCTGAATTTTTCAAACCTTCCACGGTGGTAGTTCGTAACCAAACGGCCGATATAATTTCGAAGCGATACGATTGATCGACCCTGCAATACACAGAAATTTCTATATCAGGCGTTACAACTTTAGATTTGGTAAAATTAAAATGCTGTGGAATGTAGTACGTATGTAAAAAAAAACTATTTCCCTTCGTCAATGAATTGACCAAAATTTTTGTACTTACGTACAGTACAAACAAAAAGTTATGGCAAACTTATCAGACGAGTGGCTTG